AAAAGCCACTACTTTAAATCTAGACAGGCCTTTTCTTGCCATGAATATTGCTTTCTCCTAGCCTTGAATTTACTTGTTTATTATCTGCTTTCACTTGAGGTTGACTATATGATGACACTAGACATTTTGTGTGTCTGTGATAGCAGGCAAGACCTCCTCAAGATAAATTCAATTAGTTTTCTTTATATAGATAAAGGTGCTGCCTGTTCCTCTTGTCCTGTCATTTTTACAGTTATATGGATTACAACTCACTGGTACCTGAAAGTTCAATTTTGCCTTTCAGATACATTTTCTCGTTGTCCAGTGATGCTTTTCCTCCTTTTACTACTACAGGTAAATGGTGAAATGGGTTTTTAGAGGTTCCCAAGGCATAAAAGCATTTGTACCACACAACTACAGTATTGCACCTGTGTAGCATAACCCGCATCTTTGCTGGAAATGATTCATTGATTATCTTAACTTCCCTAGATTAAATTTCAATTATTTGGTCGTTGAAGAAGAAAGTTCTTAGGTGTCAGGTACAACTGGTTACTAATTCTTTCCTCACTCTGCTTCTAACCAGAAATTTAGATAAGTGATAGATCAGCTCCATCTGCTTCTGTTTAAAAGTTTTCCCTCCTGCTCAGCAGCTAGTATATTTGTTTAATATAACCATTATTACAGAACACCTATTCCTTTTCTAAATATCAACCTTTTATTAGAAATATATAATAGGTGAATAGACATCTTCAATCCCTTCCTGAATTATACTGTATTCACAACAGTTTTAACACCTAAGATTATGTCAGTAGTCTGGGTTTCAAAACGGATATTGTATTTAACACCACAGACCAACCTCCTCTGCTTTTCTGCATTTCAGCCTTCATAACAGTTTTGTCCATGAAAGCAAGACTAGTTTACTGAAAAACCATTATTTGCAAGCTGTGTTTTACCAGTGCCACATCTTAAAATATAATTTTCATTGACTGAGTTTGTTAGCATTGATTAAAGTTATTATCATTAAAACCCCAAATCCTATTATCTCACCCATTGTCTTGGCTAATCTGATTTACTTTTAAATTTCTAGAAATTCAGTTTTCGAATTTGCAGTGCATATACATTTACTAATGGCTGCCATTACCTGAAACATGGCAGGTGATTAATGTTAAGAGTACAGGGAATTCTAGACTTTTACCCTATCTGGCTTAATTACTGTAATGTTTGAGTGACTTTTTCCTATGCCATGCAAATTCTCCTGCACTTTCAGCAAATTACTGCTTAATTGCCCAGAACCATGTAGCTGAGATTTCTCCCTCCAGCTTTGCTCCCACAGCATAGTACTTATCTTCCTCCTGAAATAAATGAGAGGTCTTCTAGGATCTTGTGATGTTCTGTCCTGAAAGAATCCTGACTCTGACTCCTCTCTTCTCTTTGGCCAGTTTTGTCCTTTGTAGCCCTGTATATTTGAAATGCTTCCCTTATTTTTTTTCATTACTGTGAAGTTTCTATTCCTTATATTTTTTTCTAATTGTCAAAAAAAAAAAATTGTTAACCAAATTAGTCTTCACTTTTCTCCTTCCTGTGCTATTAGAAAAAGAATTTCAACTAAGGTTCTCTCTGACAGGTTTTTGCCTTTCTTGATGATGACTGCCTTCTTCTCTGGTGTTTTGCTATTAAGATTCCTGAATATGAAAAATTATACAGCTTCAGAGTGTCTTAGAATGATCTGGAAGTGCAATCCCAAATCCATATGAGTTGGGTTTATCATCAGGTTAGCCTAGAAATGCTTTCAGGCAAGGCATTAGTTAGATGCTAGATAGATCCTACTTGTCAGCTTTGTTCCAGCTACTGGGGCTACACTTGAGAAATATCATTACATTTCATAAATGGCTTAGAGTGTGTTTTTAGGAGGTCAATCAATAAATAGGAGAAAATAAAGATATATGTTTCTTATTTATAGGAGGATAGGCTGCTTGAATTGCAACTCTAACACTGTAGAAGCCCATTGACCTGTGAATCAGATAGAGTCCCTGAGGATCATTCAGCTCTTAAGTTTAGTACGTTTTAAAGGGTGGTAAGTTTGAACTAAAAACAAAACTGTTTTATTCTTCCTGTGCCAGATGTAATAAGCATTCTTCTGCCTTAAACAGGATTTATTCCAAGTTTGAGGCCCTATGGAGTGTGAGGGAGCAGCAAGAGGGAACTTCTTTCATAGGGAAAGCCAAGGGAAAGCAAGGCAAGCAGTGCCCGTGTCCTCGCTGCCAAGCCCCGTGGTCCTGCAGTACCAGAGTAGCTCTGGTTCAGTAACCAGACCCGACTGACAATCCAGATCATCAGACAAGTCCACAGAAATGAGGCAATTCTGGGGTCAAGCCAGGAAGTCAAGTCAACTGCGTCAGTGAGGGACATGGCCTAAACACAGGAGATGTCACAAAGAGCTGCAGTAAAACCTGGATAAAGACCAAGGGCGAACGCGTGAGCAGCTCCTGAGCCCAAATGTTGGCAGTCTCTCAGCAAACCTTCTCCCACCTTTCTCTTAAAGTTACACAGTTGCAGCCTCCTTTATTGCAGGCAGCCAACTGACAAAAGCACTTTGTGGTTTCTGAAAAAGAATTGAGAGTCTTCACATCTATCTTTCTCATCCAATTCCTTATAGCTCCCTTATCTTTTCACTCTTTGTCTTATTTAAGAAGTCAGCATCAGCATACACAATGGTTTCAGAAAATTAACACCAGAAACCTGTCCAAAGAGCATACAATATAAATTAAACACACCAGAAAAAAAAACAACCCACAAGAGACAGAAGAGTGGATGATACTTTGGAATTTAATATCCAAGAAGATGGAACAGAATAAAAGTTCATCTCACTGTGGAGATACTGTTTTTCTAATGGGGAGAAGATGAATATTTTATCATTCAAGGGACAAGCTGAAGAATATGAAAACATACAGTGTTCCAGCAGTGAAGTACACACTTCATTAAAAGCGGAACACAACTATACTGTGGGAAATGTCATAATAGTATTACAACTTTTATGATAGCCATCACATTGCCAAATTGCAACATTTTATGTGTTACTTTTCTGGTAATGCAAAGTTGTATTTTCTTGATGGTAGGACAATCAGTTCTGTTTTATGAATATTTGCAATTTGCAGGAACTTGAAACGCATAAAAGTCACAAAGAACACAGGTAAATTACCTAAATTTATAGAGTCTATTCTTTATTATCAGTATTTCAGTAGAGAGGTCTTCTACCTTTCTAAATCTTATCTGCTTCCATCTCCCCTTTTTCTAAATGCTTGCATTTCAGCTTTACATTCTCACTGTGGATATAAGGGTCAAGTATTTGCATATAAGGAGGTATTTAGACATTCCTTTCTCAAATTTGGTGCAGATTTTTTTTTTTTTTTTTTGTGGGCATCTGTGCAAGCAAATCCAATCTAATTCAGCTCCATATGCTATAGTAGATTTATATAATTGTATTATATCTGGGGAGGAGAGTAGACTTGTGAAATATTTTCCTTTTCAAAACCAAACAGGAAAATTATAGGTTCTTACTGATTGTATTGGAACTTGTTCAACTAAAGTGACTGGGGACTTTTAAATTTAAAAAAAATCCTATTGTTATTTCATTTCCTCTTGGTCTCATTAATTAACTTTTACTTTTATAATCTCATTTCTTTCAATTTCTTCATCTTTCAGCTGTTCTATTTTAATTCTACCTCCTTTTTTCAGCCATTCACTTCTCATTTCTTTCCTTCTAGCTATTCTTCTTAGACAAAGAGGAGAAAAGGTGTCCTAAGAGAATTTTTCAATACCTGCATCATGTACTTTGTCTCATGTTCATAATACTTATCTCCATTTATTAGGAAAAAATATTGCTGAGTATTGGAAAATCCTGAAATGAATCCTGCTGCTTAAGTGTAACAGGTGATACTTATTAACATTCTCTAAATACAAATTGAAAGACTTGTTAAAAAGGATATTCTCCTTTAAGGAGAGAATATGAGTGCACTGCAGAACTTCTTTATATTGGGCTAGAATGAGACTAAAGTTATGATACTGAAGTGCTTAAGAAACTTCATAGGAATAAAGATCTAAACTTGAACATGGTGGAAGAAAATAACCTTAAGTGTAAATGTCTAACATACTTCCTTTATGTACTACCGTCAATAATTGATATGCATTTTAACTTTCTATTCAAAACTTTACATCTGCATAACAGTCTTGATACACAGCTTTCCAGTCAGAAGCATTGGAACCATGGACAGCTCCAGTGGTATCAAGTATTTCAGAGAAACGCAAGGGCAATAACGCTGAGAAAAGCATAAGCTGGTCTTTGGTTTCTAACAGATCTTTCTCCTTTCAGCATTGTATAGCTTTTTTTTTTTTTCCTTCCCTTTTAGTCATCCTAAAATGGTCATCAGTGAAGTGACTGTGGAAAGAGGTTGCCCTTATTCCTATGTATTATTCCAATCTCTCTATGTGTAGTAAGCTCTACTTACAAGTATACTATGAGGAAAAGTAAGGAAGGGAAAAACAGCTGAGTATGTATGGTGTACTAAAAAACAGAATGCAAAAACAGAATATTTTAATGCTCTGATTGTGCTGTAGTAGTTCAATCTTTTTAAAGTAACAGCAGAACGTTTCTGTAGTATGAAATCTTCAGCAACGAATCATCCTTTTTATTTAAAAAATGTTTACAGTGCTACCATGATTTCACACGCAACTAAGTTCTGCCAAGTTATATCTATGGTTTCTAAAACTTCAGTTATAGATTCTCCTTCTTGGTTGTTTATTATTAAAAATATATAAACTAAAGGAAGAAGTATTATTTGATAAAATGCAATATATCTAAAACTAGGTTCCTGCAGTTGCATGCTCAGGTAATGTCACCAAGTAAAACAAAGGTATTTCTTAAAACAGATTTTGCTTGTTACTAGAAATAGTAACATATTCTGTGTACTTTCTACACTCGCGTTAAAATACTATTGCTGATGCTGTTGTTTCCTTCCCTATAGAGTCGAATGGCAGAAAGTTTGCGTCTCTTTGATTCCATCTGCAACAACAATTGGTTTATCAACACTTCCCTCATCCTCTTTTTGAATAAGAAAGATCTGCTGGCAGAAAAAATCAGGCGCATCCCCCTAACAGTCTGCTTTCCTGAGTACAAAGGGCAAAACACTTACGAGGAGGCAGCAGTCTACATCCAACGCCAGTTTGAGGACTTGAATCGCAACAAGGAGACCAAGGAGATCTATTCTCACTTCACCTGCGCCACTGATACCAGTAACATCCAATTTGTGTTCGATGCAGTGACAGATGTCATCATTCAGAACAATCTCAAATATATTGGCCTCTGCTAAGAATCCTTGGGCTTAATCTGTTACCTGAAGTGATTAAAAAAAAGCGGCTAACCACCTCCACTTCTAGTGGAAAAAATGGGGCAATGCTTAGAAACCCAAGGAGAGAAAAGGGGAAATCTGATGTATGCACACAGATCCTCTTATGCCCACTTAACCTGCCACATTATCTTTCACAAATAGATATTTTGGAGATTAAAAGCCTCCTCTCCACAAAATACAGCTCACTCCTGCCCCCTTCCCTAAAAACGTAAATCCCAAACAGTAACAAAAAAGAGATAGAGGCCTAACTCTGTGGAGAAGTTTTCACCACAGTCACTGCACTTTTATTCCATTTGTTTCATTCCATTTCCTACAGTGGGAGTGTTATCATATTCTGTGTAAGAAATAATTCTTCATCCAGTTGTCCTAAAAATCATTTTATTGACAAGAAGATATAAAGCTGGTGAGTAAGAGATGAACTCCTTTGCAGGGGGTGGAGCAGAATGGTTGTGTTGGGGAGAAAAGCTAGTGCAAATCTGAAGCTACAGAACAGCAGAGTTTAACCAAAACATTACACAGTTGTAAAGAATGGGAATGAATTCACAGTACTGGGACGCAGAGCCCGGCAGGATAAACACACACACAATGTATACACATGCACATGAGTCACGGCATATACTATGTATACACTTCTGCTTTACTTTACTGTTTATCATGGACACCTTGCCTGTCTAAGGAATTGTTGGTGCATAACTGTTCTGTGATTTCCAACCTGACTAGCAGCCCTTTCTGCTCTTTAAGGCTTCAAAATATGCAGCAAAACTACATAAAATGAGTCTATGAATAGGCCAAATCAAGGTCAGTGTTTCTTCTACTGGTAAAGAGTTTTATACATCAAAACAGTCTTCTTTTACATCTTTTTTTGCCAAATCTTGTGGTGTTTCACAAAAAAAACAAACTCTATATTTAAGAAGTAGATTAGTGTTCCTTTTTTAATACAGATACGAAAAAATCACAAGGCGTTTTTTTAATTATTGTTGTAGTGTCTGGATTGCTGAGTGTGAAAGTTGCCAACGGACAATTCTGTTCCACTGCTCCCAACAACTCCTGGGAAATACTGTAATATTGTAATAGATTTCCCAAGAAGCAGGAGCCATTGAGATTGTGTAGTATATAGCCTCCAAAGTCTTTTTTTTCTTTTTTTTTAATTATTTAAAAAATGTGATGTATTATTAGAAGGTTAAAGATGAGCGATATGAACAATAACTAAATGTCTTGATATTTCAATTTAATAAATTATTTACAGTTTAGTGAAGTTAAGGAAACTGAGAGATGCATTCCTCAGCTCCAGGTTTCATCTCATAAAGAAACACTACTGGATGGAGTAACATTCCGGCAAAATTAAAGTCTGAATGTGTAAGAAGCTCTGTGGGACTATACTGGAAAATCTCAAATGGATCATATAGACCTAAGTCTTTGGTCAGTTGATTCTTTCCCCTGCCATAGAAAAGACTTCTTAAAGACTTGAGTGTAAAGTTGGTGTGTAAATATATGTTTGATAATTGTAAAGCACATACGTACACAGAGACACAGATACACACGCACACTGGAAAATATCCTTCTACTTTTGTTTCCCCTATGTACTATGATTAGTGCAAGAAATCTCAGCCAAGGGCTCTAAGAAATTTAAAACAAAACGGTCAATAACATCAACATTAAAATTGTCCACTTAAGAAAAAAAATAAATAATTCGAATGATACAGAACTTGTCTATAGCGTGTTCATTAATTAGTAGTATGATATAGTAGCTATCTAACTGGACAATGTTTGTGAAGTTTTCAGTTATTTATGACAGACTGATGAATGTTGCCCATTTGCTCTGGATCTTTTCTTCAGTTCAGTCACCCAAATTGAACAGAATTTCAGTCTTCAGTCTTAAGAATTGCATTTGAGCAGCTCAGTAAGTTACAAAGATAAGGAAGCTCAAGCTAATAGAGACCTGGGACTGCCAGGAAAACTACAACACATTTGGCAGCAGTGGTTTGAGGGATAATCACTTTCAACTTCACCAGAGTGGAAATGTAGCCAAAAATAGTCTCTGGGGGTTAAGACAAAGATTAGGACTTTCAGTAGACTTCAGTCCTGACCTAATCAAGCATGGGATAATCTGTGTGGTTTTTAATGCAATACTTTACAGCTGCCCTGGAGATGTGAGCCCTTTTAAGCGTGGCCTTTTGGGGGGTTACACCTGGAGGAGAGCAGCAAAGAGCCAATGAGGCAGCACCCTGGGGGTGGAGAAGGCCTTGCATGGGACCCAAGGGATATTCAGTGGGTATTCAGTGGAAAACAGGAGCTACAACCTGCTGCTTGTGCTATATGGAGTCAGACATATAGGAGACATATGTCTCCTATTATATAGGACTCCTATATATATATATATAGAGAGAGAGAGAGAGAGAGAGACAGACAGACAGGAGATGTTTGACCTGGTGAGTTTGCTGAAAGCTGTATGTGCTGGTGGTTGCTAGTAGAGAATCCTCTAACCTTAACCTACTATTAGCATGCTGGTATTTACTTAGCAACTTAAAAGTGCATTTCTGATCTAAATTTCTTCTGTAGTGTAATATCAAATTATTATCCACTTGAAGAACTAAAGCTATTTCTAAGGAAAATTCATGTTTTTCATGCAGTGGGTATAACAGAGAAAAGAAAAACTGTGAAGTAGTGTATGTCACTAGGTGTTCCCACTTAAGTGTAGGAATGGGGGGAATAAAGCATCTTTTAAGGTTAATCAGTTCACATATGCATGCTATCATGATACTGATTCCTTACTATTAACTCTCTAATCATTTAATCCTTGTGATGTTTTTGATTTTAGCATTCTAAGGAACTTGTGGTTACTCAGTTGCAGTCTTCTAAAGAACCGATGATGTTAAACATAGAAAGAAAACAACTTTATCTTCCTGTTGTATAAAAAAATTAAGGCACAAAAAGGTTAAAATAGGAAGTCTGTGCCAAAGATGGATGTTAAAATGAAATCTATTGACTGTTAGTCTTCTACCTGGATAAATTATGCAATTAAATTTGCATCTATTGTCTCAGTTCTCAGGTTATCAGTGATGCAGGGCATTGCCACCTGAAAGGATTGCACTAATGCAGCTGGGGTTTCACTTCACCTGGACAACACTGATATTCACAGAAGAAATGTTCCATCTGTTGCAGCAAGAATGCCACCTGTCCCGGGATCGTTTGCACTTTGTACAGCAAAACATATTTTGAAAGAGGGGGAGGGGAACATCCTTAAACAATCCTTATCCATAAATTTGAAGGTTATGGTTACCTAAGCATGCAATAGTGGGAACTCTTGCAAGTTAGTGAGATTATATAGTTATGAAAATTCCTTCCTTTTTCCTACTAACAGTGAACCTTTCCTGCTTTCTGCAGACGATGCTCCAGAACTGGTCCCCCGAACAAGTTACTCTAACTTGTAACTCAAGTTACAAGTTTACTTACTCTTGTAATAACTCTAACAAGTTACCTCATACAATTTACTTGGAGAACCTGATGCTTATCTACCACCAGTGACGGGCTGATGCTCATCACTGCCTGTGGTGATACATAACTCCTAAAGTGGGAAAGGTGAAAAACAGGTACGAGTCTTAAGGGATGCTTCACTTGAAAAGCAGCTGCCTCCCACAGAATTGTAGCCTTTCCTTTGCAAAGATGCACAACTCTTGCTGAGTTGGGACCGTAACAAGAGTTAGAAGCAGCTTTTGCACTGACATCAGAGCTGTGAACCACTTGCATTCCAAAGGCCACGTCTTCATGAGGGACACAGGTATAACTGACTTGCAGCTTTTGCTGAGTTCTGAGTTCAACAGGGCTAATCTTTCCACTCAAGGAGGCAACTTAATTTCTCCTTGCATAGTATAATCTCACATTTCCTGGTTTCACCACACTAGTGTTTTACAGCTGGGAAAGGTGGCAGCAGTTCCTGTTAGGGACTTTTAAACCAAGGTGGCATTCAGATAGCTCCAGGGACAAGAAGGGAGCAAGGATAGCATATCTGTCCCTGTTTCCTACGTGACAGTTTGAGGTATATCAGGTATTCCTCAGTTTAGGCAATGTATTTTGGATTGTGTGGAATTTCTAAGAAGTAATGTTTTATGTTGTGGCACCACCAAGAGACACATCTGCTTAGTGCTACAGTAAGTCACTAATCAGAAATGACAGGTCTAATAATTGCTTTCTATGTTACCCTTCTTCTAGTCCTTGCTTTTTAGAACTTACTAAAAAAATGTTTGAACTGGCAATCCCCACTGAAAAGCTGTTATTTTCAACAGGGGCTCTGCTAATATAAATTTTAAATGAATGCTACAGTTTGAGGTACTGTGGCAGTGTATCACCTTACCAAATTTACCTTACAGAAGTTCAAACATTGTGCACTGCAACTAGTCATTACTGCTGCTGTCAAAACTTGCAGCCAAGTCATAAGTGAACTCCAAATTTTTATCCTGAAACACAGCCCAAGACAGTATTAGCAAATAGTTCTATATTATTATTATCATTTATGAGTACAAAAGATTGAAAAAAAAGGGCAGGGGAAGCAAGTGATCTGTGAAACACCTTCAACCTCACTGAAATTTTAACAGTAGACAAAGTAAAAGTTTTGAAGGGATTGTATTTTAAATAAGAAAACAAACAAAAAAATCAGTACAGATGTAGTGTGAAATCTGAAGTGGCTGCAGTAGAGTTACATTAAAAGTATGCTTGATTGAGTGCATTGCATCTGGCAATGTTTATTTCTATTAAGTTTTGTTTTCTCCTGATCCACATATTCACTGGATGGTATTTATGTGGCTACACAGGTCACTAGCATATTTCTTTAAAGGCAGAGAGGTCAAAATATACTGAAACAAGTCAAGTCACTAGCTCACGGGAGTTGAAAAAATCTCTAAGATGACTAGTGGAATTAATTTTAAGTAAAATCTGCTTTACCTACATTTTATTACATTTTTATCCCTCTCAATTTACCTCATACTGATTTAATTGTTTAGAACTTTAAATGGTTAAAAGCATGTAAAATACATGTATTTTTAAAGAATTTTTCTGTTCTCATTCAGAAAGGTTCTAAATATTCATTCAATTCCTTTTAAGCACCAGTACTGTGCTTAATGGCAAGACCTCAAAGGAGACATTCTCCCTTGAATTCTAGTAATTCTCATTTTAATTGACAATCCTCCTCTATAAAAGCTATAATTTAAAAATTCTAATTTTAATCAGTAGAATTGTAATGGTCTGGTTAGAACATTATTGAAATTATAGTTTTAGAACCTGAACATAAAAGTAATAAGGGTAAATTCCATTAGCAAGTAAAAGATTTAGAAAAAAATATGTATATGTATAAATACAATAAAACTAAAGAAAGCATGTAAAACATACAATGACTTATTCTAGTCTTCTAGTAAGTCCAAGACAAATTCTCAGGCTATTTTCCTAAACCTAAACAGAAGGATTTAAAAGTTAGATGCTTAACTCCAATGTAGTCAACCTAGCTTATGTTTATGGAGATAAATGGACATCACCCAAGCATAGCTCATTGCATCCTAAAGTAGGCACCTAAAATGTCAGATTCATCGCCCCAGGAGATACTGATTTGTCTCTGCTGGTTTGTCTCTCACTGCACAGGGAGACTAGCTTAATCTGACATCTGCAGTCAGGCAAAATGATTCCACTTTTAGCTTCATATCCTAACATTTTAAGTATATCTAACCCTGTTGCCCAGGCTTTGATTTCTAAGGCTAAACAAATTACAAAATTTGTAAAAGCGAGCTCCTTCACTGTTCCTTGTATTACGCTCTAACTTACCCACTAAAAAAGCAACCTGAAGGAATCCAGTACGAAATGCCATCTCTGAGCCTCATTTTAAAATACATTAATCCAGAATCCATGGAATTTTGTTGGGAATACTCAGTGCAATGGACAATGCCCTTAAGCGCTCGTTTGTCTCCTGCTCTAGTGCTTGCAAGAAGCGGGGAAAGCCATGAACGAGTTACATGATACCTGTACTTCTTAACACCAAAAAGGCTTTCTACAAACCACTTCTGTCTTCTTCAAAACTCTGCATGCTGAGAAATTGGTGCAACAGGCTTAAAACTCAAATATGATTTAACAAAAGGGACAAAGTGAATTTATGATGTAAGATTCTGAAATACAAACTCAGATGCACGCCATATAAACTGTATCTTGAGGGAGTAGTCCTTACTACTGTAAGCAGACTTAAAAAAAAATAATGGATTTAGCCTTCAGGGAGAATTTGCAGGATCAGCCCTGAAAAGAAACACGTAGGCAGCACTGTGCCTTCACATATGTATTATGTTAATACAGGGCCTTTCACTTGTAATCTATACGCGAACATTTTATGTATTATTCTTTTATTACACAATTTGCAAATTGTTCTAGAAGGGCAACAAGAGCTCTACAACATAATTGTTTCCACCAATGAAGAAAAGACAGTTGTACCTGTAAAAGGTTTCCAATAGAACCCAAAGAATAACCTCGCAAAGGAAAACTAAGATAAACAAAAATAGAAAGATACTGTTTAAGGTGGAATTTTGAAAGAGAGTGGAAAAAAATAATGTGGGCAAAATATTTAGGGAATCAAGTTAATACACTTTCATCTGCTTGAATATTTAAGCAAATAATAAGAATAAAAACTCCTACCTTCAGGTAATCTTGCCATCATTTCAAAGGACTGATGTACATTCTTCCGACAGATATCTACTGGATCATCCAATAGCTGAGCCAGGGCAGGAATTACTCTGTTTTGTATAAACCCGTGCCTACAAACAGCATTGGGGGAGGGATTTAATTAAGCTTAACAACTTAAATATTTTCCAGATGCACAATATTAAATTCAGTTTACATTGCACCTATCTTGGCAAAACTTAAGCTTTATTGCTATTTCTCACTGAAATTTCTTTTTGTTTCCATACCATTTAGTATATGCTGTAATTATACCTACCTGCCAACATTATGCGTAGCCATTATGTAAAGGGCTTCTGTTGATTTTTGTCGGACAGTGCTGTCACTATCTAGCAGCAAAATTTTTAGGTTGTCCAAGAATCCTGCAAAATTCAATAACTTTAACATTTCTTACATTTAAGATCAGTTCAAAATAGCTTTTTTTTTTTTCAGTTTCAGAATACAAAGCACAAAGAATCAGAATTTTCATCTTTTCTGGCAGTAAAATTCTTACTGACATACCACAAGTAGGGAAGAAACTTCACCTACTACCAAAAATGCATGCATAATCCCTAAAATATCTTAACATTAGAATAAAAGTTAATTGATGTAAGTGCCCCACAGAATTAGCATCCCTAATTGTTTGATCTGACAACCAGGAAAGATGCTGGAAAGACTCCACTGAACTAATTTTGTGTTGGATCATGCTACAGACAAGCTGTTCATTTCTGTATCCAGTAAACTCTTAATCATGCAAATATTTATGTAATAATCTAACTCTAAAAATAAAGGTACACTGGGGTCTGGAGCTCTTCCTGGTTTTAAAATACGGAAGCGTGTGTTTGCAGGATTGATGCTGCATTTCTGTAAACTTCCTTAGGAAGTTTCTGTAGACTTCTTAAGCCTTTGAAAAACCATCCACTGATAAAGGGAAAAAAAAGCAAAAGAAGCCCTCACAGATTTTGCTGATGAATTTGTAAACTTGATTTTTATATATATATATATTTCATTATTAAACAATTATTAATTAAATATAATCAGCAAAATATACTAGCTGATATTATAATGTGATCTAAGATGCACTCGGATCTCAGATATTGGCTTAGACCTTTCCTTCAATTAAAAGACTCACTGAGCTCTACTGCATTTGGCAGTACCTCATATGTGAAAAAGCCAATGCTGCAAAGAAGGTATTAGTCATATATGTATGAGAAGAGTGTTTAATGAAGAAAAATACTGCCATTTTGTTGGTTAATCTCTCGTTCTTAAACCATCAAATTACAAAATGTATTTTCTTACGTAAAAATGGATTAATAATAGGAGATCAGAGAAAATCACCTGTAAACAAGACTGCAGGTTTCTCACTTTGGACTAATGAGCTTTTTTTATTAGTACCTGTTATGATTTATCTAAAACTTGGCATACACGCAGAGAAAAACATTTTATTTTTATATTTAGAGTCGATAATCTTGCAGTGAGCATACTCTTAAAATAAGTCACGTCTATGACATAACCTTCCTTATGTTCCTAAGGTAAAACAAGTAGCAAACGAAAACAAAACCTTTGTGGCTCTGCTGTGGCACCAAAGATGATGCAGGACGGGAGAGAACGGGGCCAAAAAGGGCAGTTTTCTTCCATCGTCTTGTCCCCAGCGGCCACTCACCGAGCTGTATTGCCTGGTAGACGTTCTCGGGGTCGTGGAGCAGGTCGCAGAGGGCCATGAGCGCCCGCTGCCGCGTCAGCAGCTCGGGCGCCCGCAGCTCCTCGTTGAGCTTGGGCAGGGCCCTCTCCCCGAAGGCCAGGGGTGCTTTGGTGGGATCGATGTCTGGGGGCAGCTCTGCCGAGATGCGGGCGTGCGCCATCCCTCGGGAAGGGGTCCCTACCCCAAAATAATTGTTCCTGGTGACAGTTAAGGGAGCAGGGGGACAACTATGGGCCTTAAACTGAGGGGTGCTCTGTGCCCCCAGGAGAGGGGGTGGAGGACACAGCCCTTGCTACCCTTGCTAAGCAGCTCCAAAATGATGCATGAGCATCGTCATTAATGCCTCTTCCATCAGCCGGCCTGGCTTGTCTGGGTTGATTCCCTACTGAACGCTAAAAGTGAAAACAAAACAAGAGTTTGCAGTAATCTGAGAATCAGGTGGGCAGGGAGAGGGCTCTTTTCCAGAGAGTTTAAACCCTGAACCAGACAAGGGGCTCAAAATAACAGTATTACAGCGAAAGCAAACAGAACCGCTAGCCTTTGCAAGGTGATGCTTGGTCCCTCTTCCTTCACGGCGCGGCTGACAGAAGCACCTTCCCGCCTCCAAAGCCACCCCGCAGAAATGACAACGGCAATGTTAAAACTTAACAGCGGAACCGCCGCGTTTCTCTCGCTCAGCCCCCGCGCGGGCTACGCCGCAGCGCCCCGTCCCGCGGACATGGCGCCGCCTCCGCCGCCCCCGCGTGCTGCCGTCGCCACGGCAACGCGCTCCTTGCGTACACCGCGCTCCGCGAATAAAGCCGCGCCGCCCGGCGCCTCTTTGTTTCTGCTGGGCCCCGCCTTGCGTCAGCGGCGTAAGCAACGCCCGCGCCGCCGGCCTCCGAGCGGGAGTAGCGTCAAGGGCGTAGTTGGTGAATGGGTAGCTGGGCGCTCCTGGCGTGGGCGTTGCGCGCGGCTCTGTGGGGGCGGGAGGGGGAAATGGCGGCCCGGGGCTGCGCGGGGGAGGCAGCCCGAGCCCTTCGCCCCGCTAAAGCGGAGAGCGAGGTTCCTTTCTCCTCCTCCTGCCTAAAGACACCCCACGGAGGAGGGTGTTAAGGGGCAGCTGTGGCGTGGGTCGATGTTCAGTCAGTGTTCCCACAGCAGCTTGCCCAGGGCTGCCATAGTGGGAGCTGAGCAGCTGTGGGCTGGGTTTGTCTTCCTAGGTTCCAGAACCTCTCCATAAACAGTTAAAATAGCCAGGATGGCTTCCATCCACATAAAGGTAGCCTCCCCTACCTTTATGCTGGTTTTGGCCATGTTTTATTTCTATATAACTCCATTAAACAGCACTGTATTGTGTGCAGCAGTGTATGGTACCACAGTGGGGACAGCCTGGCCGCAGGCTGCTCTGTGTGGTCAGATGCGACATAGGAAAAAGTGGCTTCAAAGGGCTGCTGCTGCGAGAGAGGTTGTTTCACCTGCCTGTGCAAATACAGAAAAGGTTGCTGTGTTTTGCATTATGTTTGAGTAATGATTATAGTGGTCGAAGTTCTTAAACTGGATTTTGCAAAGCCAAAGTCAGATCAGCCAGATTAAAATAAAGCACAGGAATAGATTCTTCTTTGCTGAGCATCAAAACCCATAAAAGAAAGATTGCTGCTTTGGAAAGGATTTTCAGGGGAGCAGTTGTTTTCTGCAGCATTCTAAACATTATTTGAAGTGGAGGTTAATGTTATGAAATAGACTTTTATTAAATACGCATTTGTGAAGCTTCCTCCTATCTCATTAGGAAAGTGAGCTTTTCTTCTGTGTAGAAGAAGCAGGAGAAAAACAGTCTCCCACCCTGCAGTGCTAACTCTGATCACCCCTTTTTGGTAGGGGTTCTTCTGCCTCATCCTTCACCGTAGCTTTTAATAATTAGTAACCACAGTGAGCAGCCCTGACATTAACTTATTTCCCATGTGGCTTCTGAACATATTCCTCAAATCCTTTATCTCTCCACCAAATCCATTGATGCTACCGTGCTGGTTATACTGATGTAAGCAGGGGTACGATGCCATGGAGAGAGTATATTCCCACTCCTCCCTGGTGACGGAGTCCCTGTCGACTCCGTAAGGAAAGAAAATCTGGATTTCGGTACAGATCATTCCTGCTGTTCTCAGCAGCTGTGTATTTCTTCAATGATTGACCCTTTTCACTGCTTGTGCAGCCTGTCTGTTGAGTTGGTAGCTTGGAATGTGGTTATGTGCGTGTGAGATGTGTAGGTTAAATACACCAGATGTTAATAAATGGCCCTTCTCTATAAAAAACTTTGGTTACCTTGGTCTCTGCTGTATTTTGCCTTTGTTGAGATGGGTGCACTGATTGTTTTGCAGCTTCGTTTGTGAAGGAGCTGCCGGAGGCAAGCGGTGACTCAGCCTGTGTCCACATGAGGGTATTTACCTGCCTAGGGTGTGAGGATCCAGAGCTAGGGACGTGGACAAAGCAAAGCAGACTCTAAAACTGATACCTGTCAGCAGAGATTTTCTTTTTAGAACTATTATTTTAAGACATTAACATTGTTTTAAAACCATTTAAACTTGCCAAAAAAGTGGGTAGTACAGCATAAAAAGATCTACACACCTCTTGTGTTTTATCACAGGTAATATTATAAAAAGAACTGGGTGTATAATTAAGTGCTGTAATGCCCCCTTCTCTGCTGAATGACCTAACTGCAAGCTGAATTCTCACTTGTTTTTTGGTTGTGTTGTGTTCAAATGAGTACCTGAAGGGATTTAAAAGTAATCCCCTCAGAAGAGCATAAAACATTAATTTTAATAGTGGAATACTGTTGAGCAGTATTAGTTTTATGTGTTTCTGAAACATAAATGATTTGTGTGTGGTATGTGCCCCCCAGCCTTTGAAGTTGAGATGAAGTTGAGTTGAAATTCTGAAAAATCCCATGTGAGTTTCTTAATAATTACTAGTATATTTAATGTTATCATGTTAATGATTCCCTACTCCACTAATTCCTTGGCGCTGGGCTAATCCTGCTCCTTGCATTTATATCTATAACAACCTTTGAAGGAAACAGAACCATTTACTTGAATGGGATTAGGGGACACTTGACCTTACAAAGAGCAGTTTCTGGTTGCAGGAATTGGCATAGCCACTAAAACCAGCCTGTCCTTTTAAAACCAGGACTTCCATAGTGAAGTTACTCCATTCCAACTCCGCCTTCCTAATCTGTGAGGGAAGGGGAGGAAGGGAACTGTTGCAGACCCGTTTCTATGGCCACGCAGCAGCCGCCGGAGCGGTTTGTACAGCTGGGAGCCTCTCGCATCGGCTGCCGCACGGTGAGTCCTTCCTTAGCTCTGCTACATGGTGAGTGGCCTTCTAGGAACCTTCTTCTGAGGACCAGTGAGGGGCTGGAGCCTCCTCAAGTGTCTCCTCCCCTAACAACCCTCAGGGTTTTATTGAACAATCCAACTGAGCTGTCTCAAGCAGGATATCTTCATGTATTTGTAGTATTTTTTGTATGAGCAGTCTCCTTCTTCCAAGTCTGATTGTCTGTTCAATTCATTCTTCTCAAGTTGATGTGGGATCAAAGTTCTTCTGTGCCAAGAACTGTGGCAACTTCGTGGTTGTTCCTCCTTTTCTGCTGTGGTGAAATGTGGTATCCCCACAGACTTGCTAACATCCCTTGGGAGATTGGGAAAGTATCTGCGCTTGAATGAAATGAGATGTGGTGCTTAGGCCCTTTCTAAAGCTGCTGTTACCTGTATGCACTGATGTGGCCCCATCTACACAAGAAACTTGGTGGTTTTTTTTTTTTTATCATACAGTAAAATAACAGAACTATTAGCTGTAATGGAAGGGAAACAAAGGTAAGTCTATAAGGGCTGCCTTTTTTTGTGTGTGTGCGCATATGTGTGTGTTTTACTATTTACCCTGTGTTGAGATTGCTATGTGTCTCTTTACCTGTTTCCTGTTTGGTAGGATTAACTTTAATTTGAAGAATGAAGTCCAACCTGATGCATTTGGTCCCCCCAGTGAGTAGGGACAGAGTTATCTCCCAGTTTCCCAAGGTAAGTGTCCCTCATCCCTGAGGTCAGAGTATGCAGTACCTGCCATTTAGGGCTTTTCCCCATGTGTAATAATATTTTAATTCAATGTGAACTTGTTTGCTGCTGCAATGAAAAATAGTTTAATGATTTATTTCATAGATAACTGGGACTTCCTTTTCCTGTTCAATGCTGGTATCTTTAATAATAGGACTGACTTCATCGGCATCTGCAGACAGTGATTTTTGCCACCTTGATAATTGGCAGTTTCTGTTTTCCATGTGTATATGTTCAGGACATTAGCCATACACTAAGTCAAATGCAGGGGGCATTGTAAAATGTAGATAGAAAAGACCATTTCTGTCCTCAAAGGGTTTTGTACTTGAAGTGCAATAGGAGAATTAAGGATAGGGAAGGACAAATGACCCTTCCAATTTTCAGTCATTCAAAATACTCTTTAAGGGAGATCATATTTTTTTCCATGCTGATCTTGATTCTGCATTTTGTTTTTACCTTTAAGAAAATTACCACAGTTATCGTAGAAAAATACAAGTGCAAATGTATTTTTCTTTTTTTTTTTTTTAAACAACCACCTAGTTAGAAGGAGTTTTACACAGGAGATTCACAAGATTTTCTAGTAAGGTTGGCATATTGCTTACATGTTTCCCGGTATTATTTATTGTTATTCATTTGGAATTATATTCCTGGAATAAGGTATTTATTAAACAGATTGACAAATGCAGTTGCCTTCAGAACTCTAGCAAGGGGTAGGATGTTGACAGTGCAATACAGAGAAAAATGTATTTACAATCTGAAGGACAATATATTGAATGCACCTGTGAGGCAGCTTGATAAGCTGGGGTTAGAAGACATCTGTTTTCTTAAGCCAGAGGGTGTCCCTGTAGTTGAGAAGCTCTTTGAGTTAATCTCCTTACCTATTTTTTTGTGCTAGTTGGACTCTTTGCAGGGTTGTTCTGTCGTATCACACAGTTGATCTAGGTAACTCTTCTCTCCTCAGTGGTACACACCTGAGGCCTGCCTGCAGTTCAGAGAGCACTTCCATGCACAGGTCAGGACCGCCTGCCAGCAGAGTGCTGGAACAGCTGGGTAAGGAGCTTTGCTTTGGTTTGGTTTTAAAATGGACCATTGAAGTAAATGTTTAAACTCTTCTTTATAGCCTGCTTCCTTCCTAGGCATATCCTCATTACTCATCTTCCTACAACAATGTATTTTAAGGGTACTAATCACATGGCAGTTCTCATTTCCTGTTTGACACTGGATGACCAAGGTGCTCCTCCTTCCCACATTTTTCAAGATGTTTTTCCTGGTGTCATTAATAGAGTTGAAAAAATGCAGGTTTTTTAGCAATACATAGCTACATTCTAAGTTTGAAAGACGAACTAGCTGCTTGAAGTTAGTGTTGAATTTTGCCAAACCAAGTGAGTATGCCAAGCAGATAGAAGGAATAGGGCAGAGGTAGCGTTGCTGTATTCTTCCTTGGTACCAGTATCAACTATCATCTTCATTTTCCATTACCCCAAATAACAGAATATTTCTTTGTGCCATTTTGAAAGACAGCCTGAGGCCTTGATCTCAATCTATGTTCTTAAATTCTCTAATCTAGGGAGCTTGTTCCTCAGCAAGAATTAGTGGAACATGCCCACTTGAATTTTTGCTTCCTATGTTCCCTTCTCTGGTTTCACTCAATACTGCACCAGTATCAATTACTCAGGCAGACGTAACAGCAGCGTGGGACCTGTGGGGACCAACACATTTGCACTGTGTCACACAGTGCGTGCTTTCCTTTGCCTTAGATATTAGTCAGGCAGCTGTCCAATCAAGATTGGGACAATTTAGAAGCAGTAATTTGCAAACAGCATGCCACAGAAGCCTGCTATAACCAGAGGTAATATCCAGTAGAATATTAATGCCGTTGTTTAAAAAGCTATTCCTTAATATAAAAGAATGTTAAATCTCTTAAGCTGTTTTTGTAGCATGTGCCCAGGAGATGTCAATCCAAGTTTAGGTCAACAAATACAGTTACATTCACTTATCCATCTGTATCTCCTAAAAGATAAACTGCATTTCAATTTTAAGAATGCAGGCTGAGTCACATAAAGTCCATCTGCTGCTTGCTGTGGGAAGACCCAGAGCAAAGAGGATTATTTGTGTGCAGCCAGCTTCAGTTCAGATTAATACTATTCCAGGTAGTAAGGAAATGGATTGGCTCTGCACACTTTAGTTTGTTTGTTTTTCCCTCTTCCAGACAAACTTCACTGTAGATTATTTTATTGTTTTGTTCATGCACATAGAACTTGTTTCCTGTGATTGACTTGATTGACTGTTCAAGTCAATGAGAAACTTTTGGTTAGTTTTAATGGCAGAAATATCTATACTTGCACCCCTTAGAGAGTTGATAATGATGCAGCTACTGTGGACATATGTTGCAAATTCCCAAATGTGTAGACACAGACAAAGCATTTGTAATGGAAGGAAAATTCTGCTCCACTAGCTTATATTTAAAAGAAACAAAACAAACAACAAGAACAAAACTCAGAGTAAACAGCAGACTGTTTTGCCCCAGCATTTTTTTGACATTCTTTTCTTTCTTATTCAAGATTCTGATCCTGTAGCACAGTGATGTTTATGTAGACTGAAGCAGCAGACATGTATGCTCACAATCACTTGAACTTTAAATATCTAAATCAGTATTTTTGTGGTGAGAATATTGAAATTGCTGCTACAAATATTTAATGTTTTTGAAACATTTATTACAGACTAAAGCTATCCAAGGTGGTTGTGGTAGGAGACCTGTATGTTGGGAAGACCAGTCTCATCAACAGGTACAGTGTGTCTCAGCAGGTGGTTTGGTTCTGCCCTTCCTCATTTTGGAAGGATATCAGTTGTGAGAGACACTCATATTCTGAGCTGAATCTAAGTGCTTGGTATATTATTGTTTCTCTCTATTCACAATGAGGTCTGTCTTAATAATAAAACCAGGGCTTTGTTATTGAATAAAAGACAAAGCCAAGTCTAGAGTATAAAACATTGCATACTCTTATGGGAATTATGCTCAGTCACTTTGATTAGGTCTCTTGGGTGGCATAGGTTAAATTCTGAAATATTTTTGTGGTTAAATTTTAGCTGAGTCAATGTTTCCTTAATAAAAGCATTCTAAACATTATATATTTAATGGGAAGCTACAAAAAAATCTCTCTCCAGTGTTTCATTTGTGGTTTCATGCTTTTAACCTTATTAGGAGAATTGTTCACCAAAACATTTTTTAAAGTCATCTTAGTGCAGGTACCTGAACTCATTTCTATAGCTGGAAACTTCTACAGAAACAACACGTCTTTCCATAGCTTATAAAATGAGGCAGTTAAGTGGCATAATGCCTTAAAGAAGAGTTATTTTATTCTTTCCTAGATGCTAAAAACGACTCCAGAGCTTTTTGTATCTAACTCCAGTGGAAAGAACACTGAATTTCTGTAGCTTGTGATCACTCTTGACAGCTTTCTGTCTATGTTTGTATTTTTAATTATTTTTTCCAAGTTGTTACATAGTTCTGGGGAAGTTTTTAATCTTCTTAATCCATAGAGGAAACTGTAGATCCCGAACTTTCCTTGGCAGTCCAAACTATTTTATTCTGATTCTTATCTCATCCTGAGAGCTTGCTGGACCAATACTTCCTAGTTTGTATTACTCAGTATGTCATTTTTGTTATTTCCTTCCTTAGTATTTTTATATATGCTCCTATAATATATAGCCAATCCACAGTTATTTTTCCTTTACATTTTACCTTATGTAGTACTAGTACTGCATGTATTTGTAGCTGGATGTTGCTAGCATTTCTCCCCCATTTTTTCATTGCAGATTTTGTAAAGATACTTTTGACCGAGACTACAAAGCAACCATTGGAGTAGATTTTGAGATTGAGCGCTTTGAAATAGTTGGTGTACCCTACAATCTCCAGATGTAAGTGGCATCAAGATTTAAAAACGTCCACATAATATCCTGTGATCTGAAAAACAGTTTCTGCAAGAAACCCAGACTTGGCTTTAATAGGCATTTTATTTCTGTAGCTATTGAAGTTGATGTCAAGCTATCTAGTGATTTCAGTATCGTAATGAGGGACTTGATTTCCCTCAAATCATGCATGTGTTAGAGTTTGAACCTAGAATCTGTCTGTGTGGTGTCTCTAGCATGGGGTAGCTCTTCAGAAAGGTGTCCAGCTGGCAGTGTTTTGCAGAAGACATTATTGAGTCTTCTCTGCTACGATGTGTCATCTATAGCAGAGATAAGATGCGCTGGGTCAAGTAATTTAGGGCAGGAATATTGAAACCCTTTCATTTAGGAAGGCATTTTCTCTGAAAGGTCATTGCCTAAAGATGCAAATAGCTAGTGGGGATTTGTAGAGAAGCGCTTAGACATCCATTCTCCCCTGATCTCAGTGCTGTTGTGTTTTTGAAAATTCAACCAGGCACTGTCTTCATCTTCTAGGAACTTGAGTGCCTTTAAAAATCTAACACACTAGTGCATTGGCAATTGGTGCCATAAGGTTCCTGAGCTGTTTAGCTTTGGTTTATCTGCAGAATCTTCAGTGGCTTTGTAGAACATCACTGAATGGTGAATTCTGGTGCTCCCTCTTACTGAGAGGTTTCCATACAAGGTAAATTTGAGCCATCAGATTGGGGACGCTATTCTGTTTAATGCTATTAAAATCAACAGACAAAAATCGGTAGTATTGCCGGTAGCTGAGAACTCAGCAGAGCTGAGGATCTTCATGACTAAGAAGCAATTTCTTCAAATTTGAGTTGATTAAACTGCAAGTCTAATTCACAGTGCGTGGACATGCCTAGAAGTTGCGAGACCCTAGTAGGCACTAATGTAATTTAGCTAGCATTAGCACAGAAAATACATTGGCAAAGTTAGATTGTCCTAGAAACAAATGACAGATGAGTTTTGCAATTTAATTTAGCAAAGAATCAACTCTTCAAGAACAGTCTCCAAAATGACTGTTGTGGAGAGGAAGAAAAAAAAGGGATAAAAACAGAGTTAAAAAGTCTTCATTAAATAATAGAGCTTTATTGTATTTCTAACCGAAGTTAATGAATAACATGTTCCAGATGGTAACACTTCTCTTGTATCATATTCTTCTCTGACCTGTACCAGTCTGTTGCTTCATTAGCATGTTTACTCAGGTTGCACTGGGTTTCATTAACCTGAAATTTCTCGTTTTGCCATTGCACAGATGGGACACAGCAGGTCAGGAAAAGTTCAAGTGCATTGCATCTGCTTACTACCGAGGAGCAGAAGGTGAGAACAATATTAATTTGATCCTGGCTGTGATTTTATAAAGAAATATGCAATTCATACACCTATAAATGGCTCTGGCAAGGTACCTGTGAATATAGTGTGGTGCAAAAGAATCTTTTATCACAGGGAAAAAGGGACCAGAAAAGTCAGATATATCTGTCTGTAGATAAGTTGTCACAACTCTAAGCTTTGAATGTTCTGACAAGGCTTAATAAAATGGCACTTGGTTCTTGGGGGAAGAGAATTTGGATTTGGGTAAATTTCTTGTTGAAGTTACTAGTGAGAACCTTTGAGAAAAGAATTTTTGCAGCAGATAAAGAGGACCCAAAATGAAAGATCCCTGAAAGTTCTAGACTGGAATATGGGTAAAGACTAAATGAAGCTGAAATTGTGGACTGCAGTCTTACTGGCTGCTAGAGAAGGAAGGAAAGGGAGCAATGTCTTTTGTCTCCTCGGGTTTAAATATGCTGTTAAAATTTGTTTCACCATTCTCCTTATTCAACAGGGTGCATTGAATTGGAGAGATGTCTAATGCACTTTTGAACTTACTTACTTTGTTTCTGTGTTGTCTTTTATTGCAGTTATAATAACGGTGTTTGATCTGGCTGATATCCAGACTTTGGACCACACAAAGTAAGTTTTTAAGTTTTTACTTAGTCGTTAAGGCTTTTGTGGGAGATTTAGTTGCCTTCAATAGCCTTTAGTTGCTTTAGGAGTGTGGAGTTGCCATATAAGTGGTGATTTTTTTCGTTTTATTTTTTTTCCTTTAAGAAATGAAGGCTGACAATCATTTGTTTAGATGGTTTGGGATGGGATTTTTCTCAACAAAGGCAGAGCATAAACTGGAGCTACTCACTCTTCCTTTATAGTTAGTGGGGAGAAAAAGACATTTTCCTAGAAGTTGGATCATTCTAATACTGGAAAGGTAGGAAGAGATGAAGTACACCTAGACATTTCTATTTTTCTCATAAACATATTTAATGTAGATGGAGTTAGAATTACTAGTTCAGATGTACATAATGGTTTGGTTACAGCAGCTCACTGAGTGGTATGAATAGACTTGTTCTGCTTTCAGTGCAGACTGTGAAATGAGTCTGTTTTACACAGTTGTCTGAAGACTGTCACTTAGAGCTAATATTTCTAACATACTGTCATGCCTGTAATGCAGGTGCATATTTATCTACAACTTGTATTTTGATATAAAAGTACATTAAAATATCTTCTTGTAGTACCTCTGTGATATTTAGTTAATTAGCATAGGTCTTTGCAAAATAATATATATATATATTAGTGTCTCTGCTAGGCTGAAAATAATTGAAAGCTGTGAACCTGCTTCCCCAGCACCCTTCCCTCTTTCACTTGTGCTAGATAACTCAAGAGCAACTTGATTGCCAGAACAACAAAAATACAGAAGCTTATGAGACAAGAAACAAGCAGCCTTCACAGGGAGCTATTTTATAATCTTGCTGAATAGGTTATTTCTCTCTTTATTCCCCTGCTTATCTAATCTGCTGTGTCATTCATATTTTTCCTCTGCTTCTTGTTTTCTTTTTCCTTATCTCTATTAAAACTGATTTGTCCCGCCCTTATGCTGATAAATACCATTTCTGGCTGCTAAAATCATTGTTGAATTTGCACTGTGCAGTGGACATGTCTGAACTTTTCATTAGTGGAGTGCAGCTATTCAAAGGGGTATGTATAGTGTCTGATCTCTTTCTGTGTAGAAGAAAAGGCCTTTGATATACTAAAAAAATTCACACTCTCGCTTTTCTTGTGACCCTGTTATCTGCCCCTTTCTCCTATATGCCCTAGACCCTCTGATTCTCGTCTTTCTTCTACATTTCAGACAGTGGCTGGAAGATGCATTGAGGGAGAATGAGCCAGATTCCAGCTTCATCTTTCTGGTTGGAACAAAAAAAGACTTGGTGGTAAGGAGATCAAATGAACTGAGAAAAGCAAATTTGCCCTAGATCCTTAAGTGATTTGCTTAGAAGTTATTCACCAAGTTATCAGGACAGAGACCTTGTGGAGGGAAAAAATGTAAATCAGAAGTAAGAAGATGACAGAGAGAGGACAGCAAACTCAGAACCGATTAAAGAAAAAGATTTCTAAACAATAAATCTTACTTATTTTTATTATTAACACTTATTGAATGTGATGCCATTTTCTCAAGAAGAGAAGGAGATAATATACTTCCCCTGCATCATTTTTTTTCTTGTCTTCCTCTACATTTCACTACCTAATTTTTGAAGAGTTTAAAACAAGCATGCTTCCTATGTTGTCTAGCTACATTTTTTCCAGCTGCTGCATGTGGCCTCACTTACACTCTGACCTGCAGCCTCTCTATTTTTCACTGGGAAAAAAAAAAAAAAAAAAAAAACCCATTCCAGAAAGCTGCATATATTATCAGTTGTCCTGAGTACTTTGACAATTGTTTTTATTGCTTTTTTTGTGAGTTGGAGAAAAAGCGAGGTATGTGAGATCACTGAGGGCACAGGTAAGAAATCTTGTCTCAGATAAAATTCCTGTTAGATTCTGTTTTCCAGATGGTGCTAGAAGGCAGGCGAGAATAAAGCTGGGGCTGGTGTTTTCTAGGTAGTACGTCAGTGGGAAGACAGCATTTTTCAAGCTGAATCTTGCTGTTATGTCCTCCTTTCCTAACTCTTACAATTCTCCTCAGTCGTGCAGTGCTTCCTCATTATAAGACATTGCAGTCAATATGTTTGACTAGGGAAGTACATTATTATGTACATTAACATATGGCTTAAACTGGAAAAGTTTACATTCAGAAATGTAGGTGTAAGACAAAAGCAAATATCTGGTGAATTATTTTCTCTTACTCTGTCTCCCAAATCATAACTTTCTTTATAAAGAGTGTATCTGTATGACAGTCTAAAGTGACATTATCTTTACACTTGGAGGAAAAAAAAGGTAGAATGGGACCTAGAATTAAGTAATTCTAATAATTTTAATGTATATTTCTATATAATTAGATTAAAAATCAGAAGTCAATAGACTTCAAGGGCTTATGACTTTGCCAGATACATACAGATTCTTCATGTTACTGCTAATGAGTTTTCTGCTGTTCATCTATATGATGAGTAGTAGTCACTGTGGCAGCCAACAGTCTTGTAGTGTCAATAAATTCCATAATTTAAGAGTTGACTGCTGTGGAAATCTGACCGAGAATTTGATTCTTCACATACTTGCACAAATAATTGTACATTTAGAATTAAATATTCCCACTGAATTCACCAGGTGCAGAAAGACATGTGGGCATTTTAAACTTTCAAAATACCTTCCCTGCAGCAGATATTTTAGACACTCTAATGTTATGAAAATTGCTGGAATGAAGCTACTTAGGACTTTATTGAACAAAATATGACAGGACCTTGGTGCAGTCAGAGCTCTGAGACATTGTGTGTGTCCCTTCCCTAAAGTGAATGTGCCGTGAACACCAAGAGGGCTTTCAAAGCTATGCTTCATGACTACTAGAAATATCAAACAATTTGCTATTGCAATAAATATATAAAGAAACCCTGTACATAAAAAGAAAACTCTGAATGAGGCAGATGAAAATGGATTGTGAACAAAGATTCTTGTTTCTCTTGCACAAGGGGTCCTTTTCCTCAGATTCGTTATCAGTGCAGCAACTTTTGATGGCTGCTTTCCCGGTGTCTATTTTAATTCTTTTCTGTCTGTCTCCCCGAGAAAAGTATCTTTCTGGCAGCTTTGTATCTTAGCTTTTTCTGTGATTCCCTGTTTTTTTTTTTTTCCTGGAATCATCCAGTCTCCAGTTCTTTCTTAACCAGATGGCGCATCTGAGTATAATTCGGTTGCTTTTGGGGAGGAACATCCTTTCTCTTTAGTTGATTCCTCTGACTGGTAAGAATAGATGCTATGGAAAAAGAGCTGAGACAGAGAGAAGGAAAATTGAACCCAAAGAACCACCGTGATTACTTGGCCCTGTGACTCTTCTGCTGATGATGGTACAGTGACAAAAGAGCAGTAACGGGACTGTGTCTTTATAGCTATTACAGTGTGGTGTTTGATACAGTGGTCACCCTTGTAATTTTTTTTTTGTTTGCTTTAATGCAGTGAAAGATAAATAGAGGCTTGCATATTTAAAAGCCACAATAAGTACTTTCTCTACCAAAGATTTGATTTCCTGTCCCTGTCTTAATGGGCAAGCTCCAAGTCAGCAGCAGAAAGACCTTGTCAGAAAGGTGCTGACAATACTGTGTTATTACTAGGCCGTATATAGTTCTTACATTAAAGTTGTCCCTTGTTTGCTCAGTCAGATGCTGTGTGTGAAAGGACAGAGCTTGATGCCATCCGCTTTGCCAATGAGATGCAGGCAGAGTACTGGTCCGTTTCAGCCAAAACAGGTAAGTTACTGCAAAGGACAGAAGAACAGTGTAACTATAGAGACTCTCGTTAAGGCAGGAGAGAGGTTAAACTTCCCTTTTCCCCCATTCCAAGCAGGCAGGTTTATATCTGTTGCATTTTGAAATTTGAGATTTATTAATGGCTCATTTTCTATTGGAGCTTCTGTATGTGTGCTTGCCCTGTCATGTGTACAGAAAGGAGAGCTGTTGTGCCTTGTCTGAGCCTGTTTATTTGATGGATAGTTGTACAAATCCTTGCGTGTGTGCACTGCTACTCACCCTAGGAATAAAAAAGCTTATACCACAAACTGAATTCTCTCTGTTGTTGACTAGAAATAATGGTTTTGGAAACAGTATTCAGCCTTACAGAGAAAGGAGATGTGACATTCTTATGGCACTGACCAGAAAGGAAGAGACATTGTTGGGGACTTCTGAGTCTTGAGCAGTGCTCTGTCCACATCTGTGCTTGTTTGATCACAATGTTGATGTGCATTTGTAAAACCACAAAATTTCTGTCCTGTTTCCTAGGGGAAAATGTTAAAGAATTCTTTTCCCGAGTTGCTGCTTTGGCCTTTGAACAGTCCATGATAAAGGAGCTTGAGAAGACCAGTAGGCAAACGGCCCAAATTGGGGCAGGAAACCTCATCAGTATGTTAAGTTTTACTGCTTTTGTTTCCTTGTTTACAGTCTGAAGGATTGGGGGAGTTTCTTGAGCACCAAAGCTTGTCTCACCCTCCTACAACCTTATTTATTTCATTGGCTACCTGAAGCCGCATTTGCTTTTGTTACCTTAATGGTGTCATTTCTCATGAGTTAATTTTGTACCTTCTTGGTTCTACAGAACTGGAAAGGAGCTTGATGGAAATCCCAGAAGGCAATCCTCAAGCCAGCCTGGGTTGCTGCTAACTGACTTTTGAAAGTGCCACTTCTGTGTACCCCAGCACACCTGTAACAAGGAAAGCTCTCAAACCAAAATAGAAAAAACCCTCCTTCAAGCCCTTTAAGAGGCTCTCACTGCTGTAGACTCACTTATGCTAGATGGTGCAGTTGTTACATTAACCATTTTTTTTGTATAGTCAAAACGTGACATCCTTGTCTTAATGCAAGATGTTGCTGGTGCCTTGTGCTCACCTGTCTGCTAGAGACCCTTGCAGTATGAATTCTGTGATTTTAGTGTGGTGTTTCTGCATATTTCTGTAGAACAGTTATGGGAACAGGAAATGCAGGCAGCGTAGTTTTCATATCGATTCCTCTATCCAGGAAAAATCTTTTGCTTTTTCCATTTAAATCGGAGTCCAGTATTGAAATATTTCCAGGTTTTGCAAAGTCCAGATATGAACTTTGTCTAACATTTTAAATTTAGAGTTGTGAGGTTTTAGTTTGTGGATGTGGAAGTATGTGAAATGCTGCTGGATATGCATGCTATTGTTTTCAGGTCTTCTGAATAAGAAATGATGATCACATAAGCACTTGACAGAAGAACTAAACTTCATGTATTCAATCTTCCAAAGAGGATGCAGAATCCTACTTTATTCTTCGATGTTCTTGAAACTTATGTACACCACAATTCCAGCTTGTTGCTGAAAATAATTATTGACATTCTATTGTAACTACATCCTTTTTATTAGCAGTATAATGTAACATGATTCTGGAACCATGCAACAGTCTCTGTCAAATGCTATGGTAGGAACTCTGAGCTGGTAAAGTTAGATTCAATATTGTTGTTAAAGTAGTAGTAACTTTATCTGCTTTTCCTGGGACAGGGTCATTTGATAACTTGATGCTGGGAGCAATTTGCTCCACATCTGAATGGAAACAAGACGAGTAGAGAAATAATTTTGCTATTTTGTGGAAAGTTTTAATGGTGTGCGTGGGTTTAGAGGGATAGGAAGAGATGGAGTTCTCCAAGGCAGGTACATAGGCTTGTTACATCCTAATTGATTTGCCAAATGAAGATGTTGACGCTGAACCATGTGAAGATGTTGACACTGAATTCTTGGTGATATTTCTCTAAAAGTAAATGGGACTGTAAATCTTGGGCTTGCACTAAGCTGTACAAATTTATGGCCATTCAAACTCAGTTACAAAAGAATCAAAGTGGGAGGACATAAAGACTGCCTCTTTAGAAGTCTTCACATCAGCGGTTTGTAACTCTATAGTCCTAAAACTCAAAACTGGCATTATTTGTTAATGCTGGGATAAGCAAGAGTGGAGCATCATTTATAATACTCTAAACTGCATGCTGCAACTGTTTTAACTGGAGAGAAAAAAGAAAATTTCTCTGCAGTTATAAGCTACCAGTTTCTTCTGTTGCTCATTCAAGCAGTGCAGAGACCTCAGTATCTGGAGAACTGATTATAACAAGACCTGTCAGCTTTGAGCTGCTGAGAAAGTAAAAAAGGTCATAGGAAGATTATATTTAATAAATCAACATATCAATCTGAAAATATTTTAGATTCTCAGCCATTTTCCTGCCCAACTTGTTTAAATATGAATAGGAGGGGGGGAAAAAGTGGAGAAATGATGTTTTAAACACCCTGTTTTTATTCCTTTTATTTTTTTGACTCGTGATGTAAATTTGAACGGCTTCATAGACAACAATGAATACAGATCTTATGGGAACTCTGTGTCTTTCTTTACTGGACAATATTCTGTTCAGCAATTGTGCTGCTTCTCTTGGCAAAGACACAAATGCAGCACGTGGCGGAGACGACGAGTATGTGTGGGTATGTAAGGTGTTATGTGTAATATTTTGACCTTATAGTGTTCTATGTGTTTGTTCATCTCGAATGTATGTCACCAGGATGATGAACACGCACTCCCCTTGTATGGAGCTTCCCGCTGAGTGGGCAGCACAGCCGTGGCCTTTGTGTTTGCTGGGTTGGAGCAGAAAAGAGGGTTTCTGCAGCACGTCATGGGCATGCGTCACGTTTTGCGTGTGTGTAAGGTTCTTCAGAAGCGCTTTTGTGGGCATGGTGAGACCACAGAAGCACTGCTGACTGCTGTGCTGCTGCTGCTTGCAGTTTAGCTAGATAAATGGTAGTGCACAGAGGTAGCATTTCCCTATGTGTGTTCATTTTTGAAAGGAAACCTTTGTTTCTTTAAATAGTTTGAGACTCAGAATCCCGTATTTTGTTTAGATGCCATTTTCCTCATTCTTTCCATAGGTGAATTAAAGACTTTATTTAGTCTTTATTTAGTGTAGGAAGAAATTTTTCTAAAATCAGGCTCCCAGGCTGTTGCCTGTATTATTGTGACAATTATGCTTGAGTCTGGCCCTCAGCCCAAGTTTTCCTTCCATCTGTATTTCTTGGACATAAGCTGTGACTTGTCCCAGACTTTGGCAAACACATACAAGGAGAAATGTGGATGCACAGAGCCAGTTAGAGCCCAGAGCTCCCGTTAGGACTGGGCAGGCTCAGTGTGGCTTTAGCAGCGCTTGCCCAGCTGAACCTTCCCTGTGGTGGCCCATGGCACCTTCCATCACCTTATTGTGGCCATGGCTGAGCAGATAAGTGTTTTTAAAGGTGGGTTCTACAGGACATGCCCAACCTTGCTGCCTACTTCAGCACAAAGGTAGCAGCAGACCTCAGGAGCCTGGCGTGTATTTTCTTCAAAAATTCTCCCCAAGATGTTGCATTTGTTACTGAGCTCCACTGCTGTTCAGGATCACAGGGTTGTGGTATCGTCAGAATGCAGTCGAGTTGCTTGGAAAATCAAATGCAATAGGATTTTGTCTAGTTTACAGCTGCTGGAGCGCCCGGTGTTGCGGGAGGGGCCGTTCCCTTTCCGTATGTGGTGAATCCTGACCTCTGAACGACCCGGTTACCTGTATTTTTTATCAATAAATACCATTCAGTGCCCTGCTTAATGTCATTACCGATTTGTGTCTTGTGTCATTGCAAAAATTTCATGCACTAAAAATGCTGTTGGTTGGTCAGTAACTGTCCCTTGCCCTGGTCGGATTCCACACGCTCTGTGATGGATGCTGCGAGGCTGGGGTTTTTTAAGCCTTACTGAGACTTCCCCAGCAAAGAGCTCCCAATTAATAATTCATCATCAAAAATGAATCTTAGATGATATTACAATTGATGAATTACTTAGGAAAGCACAAAGGAAAGTCTCTAACTTGGGTAAAATGGTAAACATACTATTAATTTGCAAGTCCTTAAATGTTTATCTGCTGTATGTCTGATTTGTGCATGCTTATTCTTTCTATCAACCACTTGGTTTGCTGCGAAGAGCCTTAATATTGTGAAAAATGTTGTCAGAATAACTGTACTAAATCTAGACATAGGCTAAAACACGATTTTCATGCCAGTTGGTGAAGTTCTCGCAGTGCTCACGACAGCAGTTTCGTTGCCAGCTTCCTTTGGGAACTGGCTGCTGAGAAATTGAAGAGTGTAAAACTCAGATGTTCTGAAGCAAAGTTAAAGGGCGAGTGTAATAATCTCCCCTCAAAAGTACTAATGTTATGCTGGTCTTTTGTCTTAAGTAGAATTTAATGTGCTAAAAAGTTGCTATTTAATAACTTTGTGTATCACATGGCACAAAACACCTGGTAATGGATCAAAGGGAACAGTCAGCTGGCAGGCAACATCATTTCTTACTATAAAAGGCTTTGATTTTTAAGTGATGCTGCTTTAGCCTAATTATTTGAAGCTTAGAATATTGCTTTTTACTCTCTTGTAGATGATGAGATGGACTTTGTCCTGTTGGTTCTCACTAAACTCAGGTCTGTCTGTGGTCCTGGGCCCTTTTGGACTTTCACCACTAGCCAGTTTATCCCAGTGAGTGCAGTACAAGCGCCTGGTGGGTGCCTGTATCCGCTCCACATCCTCAGCAGATGGGAGTTGCAATGAACTTTTTGGCAGACTTTGCATTTGGCCTTAACCGATGCCAGAGCAGTTCCTTGTGCTTTGGCCAGCAGCTTCCTGGTGCTGGGAAGGTGCTCCCGCTTTGCAGGGATCGCGGGCGAGCTGAAGGCATCCAGCGAGGTCCAGCTGCGTGGTCCAGCCGGCTGCAAAACGCTGTGCTGCAAAACTCCCGCTTCTTGGTCTGGGCTGCAGCTGAACGGGGAGAAATCCCGTTTTTCCCGTGGAGAAGATCCCGCTTTTTGCGCTTCCGAGGTGTTTGCGGCCGCGCTCGGGCCCTGGCGGCTCCTGCCCGCACGGGGGAGCTCCTCGGTCGCCAACCGCTGTCGCCGGGGGGCTCTGCGCGGTGTCACCCGTCCAGGTTCGTCCTTAACCCATCCAGGTTCATCCTTAACCCGTCCAGATCCAATGTGCATCCAGAAATCCAGCCTCTGGCTTGCGGGATCCCTGCTCTCCCCTTTTAAAAACAAAAAGGGATGCAGATGTGAGCAAAGGGAGCCAGTGGAGAGGAGGGGGAAAGGGCCTTTGCCAGGGATAAAAAGGAATCAAACTCGTGAGACTTGATTAAAAGTGATGTACATATCAAAACACATCCCCATGGCGGATCTATCATTATAATAATAGTGCTAGTACAGTCTTAAAGCCCACGTTGCTGGAAATGCTTGTCACAATTTCAACTGGCACAGAGGCAAAAAAATAACAGCATCAGTAAAGAGAAGTTATTTATTTTTTCTCTGTGAAGGGCTGAGTTTTCTCGAAAGAATTAGAGGGGTATTTAATGAATACAGAACTCTCATTTTTATTTGGATTACAATATGTTTTCCAGATAGATCAGTCAATACCTTGCCTGTGTTAAAAGCTGAGGAAACAAGTGCAGGAAAAGAGGTTAAAACCAGGAAATGAGCAGCAAGTGGAATTGCCTATGCCAAAGTGAAGGCAAGATCAGCCAATCTGCAGCATGTCGGGAAATATTTGAAAAATATTTTTCACTTGGTGTTGAAGAGGAAAATGCTTTAAGGGATTACGTAGCAATATGTCCTTGGAAGGTAAGCCCGTTCCTCCTACTTCTGTGCATTTGTGCTTTTCACCACAGAATTTGAAATCAAACCTCAGGATTCTACAGATTCAGGGAATTCCTGATGATATTAGTGACTGCTGGAATGGTGTCTTGCTGTCTTCCCTAGTAATGTATGAGGTGTATATCTATACCTCACCTTGATGGTATACCCCACCTCGTCAATGAAAGAAGCAGGTGTATGAGGGACCTGAGATGGGCATTTTGATGCCTTTTCCCTTGTCCTGCTATGCAGGTGAGAATTCCGGGTTGATTGATCCTGACTTTTTGAACACTTGCACTAGCACAGGGCTAGGCCCCAGGGCCTAGGTAGGATCACATACTGCAGGAGCCCTTAAACCCAGGGGCTCCTGCTCCCCTCGTTGGCATCCCCTGGGCTGGGGCTGGAGCTCTGGGATGGGGCCGGTGACCAGGACCAACTGGGAGCCGCACTCAGCCTTGGCCGGTGAGTGCGGCTGGTGTAGTAGCCTAGTCTGAGCCCTGCTCAGGGCTCCTGCTCCTCATTCCCGGGCATGGGAAGGGTGGAAGGGAGGGCAGGGTCCAGGGCCAGAAGGTCTTTGATGGTTGGGGCTGAGGGGACCCCGGGAATGGCTGAGGGGACCCCGGGAGGGCCGAGCTGCCTGGGGCAGCCAGGAGGTGGATGGCGGAGCGCGGTGGGCACCGCCCTGGCGCGGGCGGCTGCGCTGGCCCCGGGGGGCAGCGGGGGGAGCCGCCGAGCACCCCGGGGCCCGTGTGGGGGCCGCGCAGGGCCGGGCCCCGCTGCCCCTTTAAGAGGCCCCCGCGCGGCGCGAGCGGCGGTGCCGGGCGCTGCCCTCCCCTTCCGCAGCGCTGCGCGTCGCGGCGCCGCCGCCGGGGCCGGGCCGCGCCATGGGCACCCGCGGGCGGCGGCGGCAGCAGCAGCCCGGGCGCTGCCGCGGCGCTCGCAGCCGTAGCGGCCTGAGGCGCCGAGCGCCGCCCCGCGCGGCGCTTCCGCACGTGAGCGGCGGCGGGCGCCTTCCCGCCCGCCCTCCTTGCCGCTCCGTCCCTCCCGCTTCCCCGGCGCCGCGCTCGGCCGCGGCCGCGCGCAAGATGGTGGACCCGGTGGGGTTCGCCGAGGCGTGGAAGGCGCAGTTCGCCGACTCGGAGCCGCCCAAGATGGAGCTCAAGTCCGTGGGGGACATCGAGCAGGAGCTGGAGCTGTGCAAGGCGTCCATCCGGAGGCTGGAGATGGAGGTCAACAAGGAGCGGTTCCGCATGATCTACCTGCAGACGCTCCTGGCCAAGGAGAAGAAGAGCTACGACAGGCAGCGATGGGGCTTCAAACGCGCCTCGCAGGTGCCTGACGCGGGTGTGGAGCAGCAGAGCCCGGAGCTGCAGCCTCCGCAGCCCGCCGACCACGAGGAGCACGAGAAAAGCAAGTCGCAGCACGCGGAGGACAAGTTCAAGCCTAGGCTGCCCTCGCTGCGCAAGCTCTCCACGCAGAGCGACGGCTCGGACCTGTCGCCCCTGGACAGCCCCCATCCCGGCGAGGGAGAGCCAGAGCGGTGCAGGCACTACGGCGAGGAGAGGCTGAGGAGGGTGGCCGAGGACGCAGAGAGTTGCTGCGACGCGGACGGGTCGCCTGCGAAGCACAAGGCGGCCGCCTCGCGCAGGCTGGCGGGCTCCGCTGAGAAGGACGGACCCTTCGAGCCGCCCTCCAAGGACAGAGGGAACGCCACGAGTGTGGCGGCCCTCAGGTCCAATTTTGAGAGGATTAAAAAGGTGAATTCGCATTCTGGGGACAGCAAGGACGTTGTGGAGAAGCCCTTTTACGTGAACATGGAGTACCACCACGAGAAGGGGTTGGTGAAGGTCAACGATAAGGACGTTTCTGATAAAATAAGCTCTCTTGGTAGCCAAGCCATGCAAATGGAACGCAAGAAGTCCTTGCACTCCCTCCCCTCTAGCATGGGACCCAGCTTTAGTGAGTTCCAGAGGCCCGCGTACCGGGGAAGAGCCTCGGAGAGCACCTTTGGCTACGACGGAGAGTTTGAGGATGCCGAACTCAACCCCAGGTTTCTCAAAGATAATCTGATTAACGCCAACGGCAGCAACCGTCCGCCTTGGCAGCCCCTGGACTTCCAGCCCTATCAAAGCATCTACGTGGGCGGCATGATGGGGGATGGAGAAGGCAAAGGACCTATCCTGCGGAATCAGAGCACGACGGATCAGGAAAAGCACCTCACTTGGCCTAGGAGATCCTATTCCCCCCGGAGTTTCGAAGACATCGGGGGAGGATATACACCAGATTGCAGCTCCAACGAGAACCTTACATCCAGCGAGGAAGACTTCTCCTCGGGCCAGTCGAGCCATGTGTCCCCCAGCCCCACCACGTACCGCATGTACCGGGATAAGAGCCGGTCCCCCTCGCAGAACTCGCAGCAATCCTTCGACAGCAGCAGCCCACCCACCCCACAGTCTCAGAAGCGGCACCGGCAGCAGCCGCAAGTCGTCGTGTCGGAGGCTACTATTGTGGGAGTCCGAAAAACAGGACAGATCTGGCCCAACGATGGGGACCTGCCCTCTGGGAGGTGTCACCAGGACAGCTGTTTCCACGGGGATACAGGTGTGTACTCCTTGTGAGAGCCACTTTTTGTTTCGTTTCTTTGTGTACAGAGCGGGAAATAACATCATGGAAGACACCAGGAGAGGCTTGGGAGAATTGCCCAAGGGGGCAGCTCTTCAACGTGAGAAACTTATGCTTGTTTTGTGGTTGTTTGATTCAAGAAGCTCCTATAGAAATACACTTCCGATTGCGTTTTAGAAATACAAATTTGTTTCCCAGAAGTTGACTCCAGGTTTTCGTTTTGTTTTCGAAGGGATCAACCAAATCCCCCATAAATCAGTTCTCAAAACTTTCTGTGCGTAGGAGGTAAGGTGGGGGCCAGAGCTGCCCCTCCCTCTTGTTCTTTTACCGGGAAATAGCCAAGCTCTGCCCTGGAGTGGGAGCAAGTCAAAACCTGAGGGTCTGGCTGGAGCTCTGCCCTGATGCTCCTCCCCTCATCTTGTTTTTTCCTGCCTGTATTAATTGGGGTGCTCGTTTCTCCTCCTGTCTCGTGTCATCCTTCAATTAGGGCTGATTAGAGGTGATGATTGCGCAGCCCTGTTCTTGCGGCTTTCTGCTATCGCGACGAGAGGGAAGAACTTGGAATATTAGGAAGCCCCGAGGGAGAGCTCTTAATTTGGTTTTAGCAGAGTCAGAATTTTTGTTTTGGAAAGAGCAGGGCACGTTTGAACCTATTCTTGCCTAAGCTCTTCAGGCGTGTAGTTCATTCAGATGTTTGTGTGTGAGTTGGTGGAAGAGGGGAACGAGGAACTACGTCGAATCCCATAGATTCTCTGGATGCATGTGGACATCTGGATGTATTTAGCAACATGAAATGTAAACAGAATCTCGTGCTAACTCCAGTAGTCTCCTAGTAAAGGAGAAGCAACGAATTCCAGGAATGAAGAAGCTGATAAATTTAAAATGGTAGAAGTCTCTCGTGTGTGTTCCCTGCAGCTTTGAATCTGTAATTTTAATGAAGGATTAACTTGATACTTGACGATTGCTTCCTGAAGTAGCAGGTGAATCAGAGCCCCAAAGAGGCTTGCAGAGAGGAGCCTGTCAGATTGTGTCAGGTTGATGTCCGAGCAACTTATCCGGAAGGAGATTCCTGCGTGTCCTTTCCCTGCTGTTTAGTACCTGGAATATTCCTGGGGAGCAACAACCACCAGAGACATTTTCACACTCGCTGCTGCTGCTCCCCCCTTATTTCCCGTTGCTGGGTTAGTAGAAGGCTGGGTCTCATCTGTGATGGATGTTCACCCTACATGAAACCTCATTACCTTGTCCTCACAGTGACTTCTTCCTTATCAGATTATATACACATATTTGTTTTCTCTCCAGGCCTACTGCATTCTTGTTGGGTCTCATGCATATGTGAGCATCTTGCAGAAGTAATGCAGGGGAGAGGCTGGATCTAGTGCTGGTTTCAGCTGAGCTACAGCCATCTGTCTCTGTTCCTGTTTACTGATGCTCTTTAGATGACTGAGAAGCCTCCTGGCAGTTGTGGTTTTGCAGAGGGAAACAAAGGGGCAAAAATAACAAAGGTTGGTGTGGCTTTGGGGTAGGTTCAACCTTCCGACGAGCCATGCTTCAGTTGCAGTTGAAATAATTTCATTTAGTTTCATTAGCTTTGTGAGGTGGCAATGAAACGGGCTGCTGAAAGCTCAGGACAGTTAAAAATCCTGGTCGATTTTTTCTGGTGGAAAGCTTGGTGTCCCTTTCCGGAGGGTGACCACGCAGCTGCAGACAAGGACAGAATGTAACTGAGCTCCTTCTGCCTCCCCCAGCACAGGGGTCACCCTGCAAGCCTAGCAGGGACCTTCACCAGATGGCTAATCACTTCTGTCTTGCACATTAGCTGGTGGCAACTTTTTGCTTAACCAAAAAAGCTTAACGTCTTTAGGAGGGCCATGTTTCTGGTTTATTCCTACTGAGCCTTGTTTTATACGATTCTGTATTTTTCATGCTTAGGAAGAAGTGTGGTCAGACACCACTTGGCAGAACCTCTTTTCCATAGTGCAAACACAAAGGGCGCGAGCGGGAGCAGCCGCCCGGCTCCCATTCCCAGCTTGGGAGCTCTGGCCAGGAGCAGCACCTGGACCAGCATCTCCAGCACTGCAGGATCCACAAGGAGCTCGTGGCCCTGTCCAGCCTTGCAGCGCTGGGCTCAGGTCGCTGCTCCTGCCAGCCCTCCCTGCAGTGGTGCTTGAGCAGAGAGTGCAAGTCAGCATCCCAGCAGGTGCAGTCCAGCCTTAATGTTCATTAGCATCAAGCGGGATTTGCCCGACAGTGTTTGGCTTCTTTGGACGTTCCGATTCCCGTCGCCTCCGTGGCTTTGCTTTGCGTGACTTCGGTTCATAATAAAGCTGAGCAGGGTGTAGACAGGCGCCCCGTGCGTTTCCTGTCTGGCCCGGCCGTGCCAGCCCATCTTGCCTTTGCCTGGGGAACACTTGCTATTTTGTCTAGATTCTTTCTCGGCTTCACAGCTCAGTGATCATTTGTTTAACTTTGCGTTACAAAACAGGGCCAGAAGGAAGTCACCTCAGTCTCAAGTGAATGAAATCTGAGCCAGTGTTTGATCTGTGTTCCTGCACAAGCCTTACTAAACCAAGGTGGTAGGATTTTAGCTGTTTTCAAGGATAAAGCACAGTGTGAGATTTGGAAACAACTCTATTTTCTGTCTAACTTTACCTAGATTTCATTAAAATCCTCTTTTTTTCTTTTTTTAAGGAATTATATAGTACCCATTAGCTATAATAGGAGTGGGGAAAATCAAGCCTATAACAAATGTGAACATTTTGACTGTATCGGGTTGGGGAGAGTAAGCAGGTATTTATTTTTTAATTCTATGTAATCTTTTGTAGCAGGCATAGGAACTGGGGAAGCCACAATTGTGTTTTCTGCTCTGAATCCAGGGGAGAGCTGCATAGAGCTGATACACAGCGGGGAGGCCTCCCGATGACCTTGGCTGTCCTTTTATTTTAACTAGTTAATTGAGGAGCTGTTAATTGAGCACACGGAAGTTGCTGTGTGGCATTACAGCTTGCTACATAAAATTAGGGCATGAGCTCTCAATGTTCTGTGCACAAAATGTCTTTATCCGCATAAGAACATAGAAACTCTGTCTGGAGTGCACGTAGCAGCTTTACAGGTAAATATTATCTTTTTGTGGGTATTTTTGTGCCTGAATAGTGGCTTCTGTCCTCCTGAGAGGACTTGACAGTGATCTCCAAAGAGTTCTGGCACTGTATCTAGAATGTCACCAACAGCCAGAGTGCGGAATATAAAGCCATCTGTTTGGAGATGTGTATTATTTAATTCCGCTGGGAATAACTGTGCTTATTTTAGTCTCTGCTAGGTGTGGGAGTGCTGCGCGCTGCTTTCTGGAGCAGCGTGTTCCCTGTGCTTTTAGTGAGCTGGATGTGGACAGGGATGAGAACGCTGGAACCTATCCATGTGTGTGGACTGCAGGACTCACGTGGCCTGTTCTAAAGTGCCTCCTTGCTCAGAGCCCTAGATTTTTCAGTCCTGTGTGCTTAAATGCCTAACAGGTAATTAAGCATCTGAATTGCCTGCTTTTAAGGTCACCCCTGACACCGTTTCATTTTCAAACCCCAGGGAACTGGGGACCGTGTGATGACGGGAGGAGGCTGCTCGGTGGCAGATTCTGCACGTTGGGATTCTGGACCAGCTGTGTCTCTTACAAGGTCTTGGATGAGTTTCTTAGTTCTGTCTTTCTCCTTCCACCACTTATTGTCTCATGTGGATCTCAAGACATAATTCAAAAGGTGCTTTCTTTGAGAAGTCCTCTAGCAGTGTAAAGACGACTTGTGGGGGACAGTACCTATGCGGCTGTCGCTGCTCTTTGGAAACCAGCGTTTCCCTCCGAGCCGCTGAGGCTGCTCTGTTTTGTTTTATTTTCATTTTCAGTCCTTTCATGTAATGGTGAGTAGCTTTCCTGGGCCTGCTGATGGCAAGATGCTATCTAAGGGCCTCCTCCATACTATTTAATGGCTGCTGAGGTTACCTGGCTGCTTGTCCACCCTCTTTCTGCTCCTTTGATGGGGATATGGAAGAGCTTCCCTCCAAGCTGAGTTCCAAGGAGACCTGTGAAGCTCTCGCTTTAAGGCCCCAGTGACCGTAGACCCTGCAGTCTTCCCCCCCCACTTCTTCCTCGACAGACATACTGACCTCTGGCCCTACCCTGGTAGATGATGTGCACATGGATTTTGTTTTTGCTTCTCTGGAGGTCATCCTAGAGCGTGGGATTTCTGCCCTCCGCCCCCAGGTTCTGTGATCACAAGGCACCTGCTTCTGAGGGGAGGTGGTAAACCAGGCCAGGGAGCTGTTGTGTGACCTTGGAGAGGGAGGATGTGCAGCCAGGTTGAGCCACAGCAGTGGGTCTGTGCTGGCGTGCCCAGGGCTCCTGGGACATCTACTCACCCTGTCCAAGCACTGCAAAGGGAGTTGTGCTCTGCGCTGTCACGGAAGGGCCTGCCCTGTGGCCAGGGGAGCTGCACCGATGGGTTTGCCTGTATCTGCTTCCTTGCTGGCAGCCCAAGGGGTTTCAGGGAGGAGAGCACAGGGAATTTGCTGCCTGGCGTTCGGTTGGATCCTGCTTGGAAGGTAGTTGGGACAAGCACGAGCATCTGTGGCCTGGCCTGGTGTCTCAGGACATTTTGGCACTGCCCTCCTTGTCTGGGTTAGAAGCTCCTCGGCTCTTTTTCTCTTGAAGCACCAGCACTGAGCAGGGGAATGAAGAGCTGTGAATTGGGTGAGCAGGATGGAATAGGTGGGGTTTATAAATGATGAAGAGATTGGGCTTGTGAGATAAAACTATTGTGTAGAGAAGTAGGCCAGCCTGGGGAGAGGGCAGGTCTGTCTTTATAAGCAATGGTCAGTGCATGTACTGATCTAAAGTGGTTTACTTCTGCATGCTTGCAGGTGGTAGACCTTAAAGCAATGAATTGCTTCAGGGAAGAGGAAGTGCTTTGGTCCCCTCTTTTTCTTTTTTTTTT